ACTGAGTCACTTGTTACAGGCAGTTAGACAGTCACCAGCCACATTGAGCATGCGTCCCACCACCTGCTCTGGTCCAGCTTACCCAAGGTCTCCTTCACACAAGGGTCTTCTCACCTCCAACAGCAGTTTTGCTTGAGTAACGTCTGCAGTGCCTGATTAAATCCCCCTTTCTACTGTGGCACATGCTTTCAGCAGGTTGGCAGATTACATCCTTTGATCCAAAAATTCACTGAAATGGATACACTGCCTTCCAGGAACCTTGGGTCAGGGCTGTGGGGTTTGAGATGTCCACCTTGGAATGGGGCAGCTAGCCCTGGATGGATGCAGGGCCACACTGGAACATGCACGGCAAAGAGCATTGACCCTGCCCACGTTTAGTGGCAACACCAGTATGACTTTGAGCATGGGGAGAGAGAAAGGTGTCACCAGGGAGCCTAAAATGCAGTGATTTTGAACCTTCTTCTCTTCTCCCTCAACCCCAACCTGAAGAGCTAAACCACTTCCCCTTCCACAGGGACCTGCAAAATGAACAACAGGGAATAATCTATGGTAGTTTATTAATATCCAGTTCCTAGGAATAGATATTTCCATGCTTTGCAGATGGAATCACTGTGAAAGTGGCAAGCTTGACAATTTCACAGAGGTTTTTGGGTTTCTAGTATCCATCTTATTTTTGGATTTTATTTCCCAAAGCACTCTTGTGCCTTATCCCAAATCAAAGCAGTCTGTGCCAGCAGACCTACAACAATTACCTTTAGGGGTGTTCAATGTACAAAGAAAGAGTGGAAGAGGAAGGAAAACATGAAGAAACACATTCCGTTTTCAAAGAACTCTTAATTATTCATTAGATTGATATTATTAACTATTAATAAAAACTAACCACAAGAATCAGTCACCACAAAGCCCTCCTAACACTGCTTCCAACAGGGCTCTGTTGTGACTTGTACCTTGCTCAACACGCAGCAATATTTACCCACTGGATTGAGCAATGCTGACCATGCCCAGCCCGCAGTCTCGCCTTACAGGGCAGACTGAATTTTGACATTGACCCCATTGCTAATCTATGCTAGCACGTAAACCTTAGCCTTGTTAAAGACTTTTCTACCAGCTTCTCATACCTGCTTTTAAGGTCTCTAATCTCTCATCTCAGCATTGTCACACGTTTGCTGGTGTGGAGGGCCTCAAAAGAAAATAGTTTATTGCATCTTGGCATTGTCTTCCCCCTGTGTCACTTGTGGAATTTAAATGTATTTATTTTGTGTCCCTGGCCCTCTTTTGTCTTAATATGCAGCCTCTTGAGTTCGCTTCTCGTTTGTACCTATTTTACGGGGAGATTTTCCTACTGAAGTACACTGCTATACTATACTTATCATATGCCTTGGGGGGTAAAGAGACGAAGTCAGACCTTGTTATACTCTGATTTTGTATACGTATGTCACTTGATTTCATTAGGAAATGCAACATGAAACTGATATGCTCGGTGGCTATGTTCTCACCAGCAGTCACTACAAGTATTTTAAAGCCATGGCATATAACATAAGTGTTCTCCAGTCTCTTTTTCTGATTAATAAGCTCTGTGATCCTTCTGTCCATCCAAACGTCTTGACAAACTTTGGTTTGAATGTGCTAAACGGTGTGAACGATGAGTATAAACCGATAATGGTCTCCAGACTCTGAAGCACATGAAAGGCAATTCCCATGGACACAGTTGGTTCCACCACACCCTTAATTCAGCAACAGGTCGCTGCAAAACCTACAGCTTCCCACTTCTTATGTCCACGTCCTCCCCTCAGTCAGGGCAAGCCCCGAACATGTAGCCCCCAGCTTCGGGCACACTGGTTTGTGTGCAGAGGAAACGTGGAGCGGGAGAGGTGGTGGGAGCCCCAGCACATTCCCCGCAGCTGCTTGGCAGGACCCCAACTGCAATACCACCCACCAACCAAACAGTAGACGTAGGCTGTGAGAGAAAGTCCAAAAGCCCACTCCCTTTGGGCTTCAACTACAGAAAACACAGCGTTTGCTCATTGCTAAGAATGAGGGCTTTTCTACATCAAATGATAGCACTGACGCCTTCTTCAAACCTTCCTACAGAGAATGGGGGCAGTCAGCATAAGTTCAACTTTAAGAACAATTTCAGATATTTGTGTTCCCAAGTACTTTGCAAATGACAAAATCAAAGGATCCTCAAAAAGAAGCAATACCCCTAGTACAAAATAAACACACTTATTCTTCCTTGCTCTGCCCGTGAAATGCTTCTGAATATTTTAAATGGTAAAAGAACAGAAGAACTTAAAAATTACAAGAATCCTGAGATTCAAAATCACCAACATTTGAAATAACTCACTATGCTGATTTTAATGGTACAAATCCTGCCTTTCTCATAATATTATGATGCCTATTCACTGCAAGACTTCAGAAAATTAGGCAGACTCTTGTAAAAGAAGTGACATAGAAGGTGGTCCTGAAAGCAGCCCAGTGAATGCAAGCTGTTTCCTCCTGTCTTTCCCCTCCCATCTCACCGTGAACAAAGAGAATTTTCTACCTCTCTGAAGCACAGATTTCCCTGAGGGAAAAAGAGACTTGCATCACGTCCTGAAAATAATTGCATGGTAGCGCTACTGGAATTGCTTCCCATTTAGGTCAAATCTTGACAAGAGCTTTAAGATGCTACCAGAGCTGAAGAGGTTTTATGCAAGAACCTTAAGGTGTACCTTGCACATTGAAATACGGGGCGAAGGAGGCTAAGGAGAAGTCACTGTAAAGCTAACTAATATTTTATCTATGACTCTCGTAAAAATAGAGCAGTAGTGTTATGACAAGTGATAAAGACAATGAACTTTCAAAGGAACAAAGGTGTCTAGGAGATGCAAATAGCTGTACTGTAAGCGCCCCTCCGATGGGCGATGGAACAGAGGCAGTAAAAGGGAAGGGTGGAAAACAACATGACAACTAGACAGAAGCAATTTAATCATCAAAGGCATTTAATCATTTTCTATTTTTAAAAATAGGATTTTTTATGATTACAAATGTAGAATATGCCTTTCCAAATTTTCTTTGCTCACTACTTGTTAATGCTTGTTTGACTGTCTTTTCATGGTGAAACACATACCACATTTTTAGAGCTGCTCACAGAATACTATTAGTGTATTGGGAATCTGGAAACTGAACAGGCATTTATTCTCCTAACTGGCAGTCTGATAAGGCTGATACAGGTCTTCATAAAACTAAAATACATAAATATTGAAAATATAACTACTGTTTCATAATTTTAAAACAACCTTTGATTTTACGCAAACATTATTTCACTTTATTATAGATGCTTGAAAATATTCCATAGTCAACGTGGAAGTTTTGTCGCACTTCAGAATGAGTTTGTCATATTTTACTCTGACAAGGCATCAAAAATTTACCGTATTATTGCCAACACAAACCACTTCAGGTGTCAGTCATGAACTACGTAACACATAGGAATTTGATACCAGAAGCTCTTTGTATAATTAAGTTTGAAAGTAACTTGGTGCCTCTCTGCACAGCTTGTGTAACCAGGTGTTGGATCAGTTCTGTAATGCTTATTTAGGTTTTATTTGGGCAACATTATCTTTTTTTCACTTGAGTGGCATTTTGCCCTATTAATAGCACACTGTAGTTAATACTGCTGCTATCCCTTAATAACCCTGCACAGAAATAAAATTGCTGCTCTTACTAATATCCTCAGAGAGAGGATTTGCAGAAGTGTGCTAAGGGGAATTGCTCCTATTGTCACCATGGAACTGGGGGGGAACATGGCTCCTTTGTGTTTGCCAGTAAATGCCAGATCTTGAATTCAGCTAAAAACCAAGGCAGGCACCGGCTGTGTAGGGAGGCCGGGATGTAAACGGAACGGGAATTGTTTCCTCAGCAGGAGTATGTTTTGCGACACAGCATCCCAGAAGCGACCACACTGTCTTATACATCACTCCTTTCCCTAAGCACAAAAGCCTCTGCTTCTCCTACAAAAGGGAAAGGAGTGAAAGGGTTTGCCTACTGCATGCAGATACAATTTTAGCATTCAGCATTGCTCTTTCATTTAAAATACCCAATTCTATTTATATTCCCTGATTATCTAACAGAATTCATTCTGACCTAAGGGAGAGATTAATTTTTTTACTGGGTATCCTATTGCCATGTGGCTCTCTGTGTGTGTGGAGATGTTGCTTCTCTTCATTTAGACGACTAGAATACAGAATTTCTCCTATTTATAATTAATTTCAGTTGTATACTAGCGGCTACGCGTTTTAAAGGCAAAGCATTATTGCTTACTGTCAGAAATGTACAGTCCAGAAAGGTATTCCTGAATGTTTTATTTTGGAAGTGTGAAGGGGTTTAAAATAAGCAAAAGTAAATATTCAAATACATTTCATATTGCATGTGGTCGGAGTGGCTCCATCTGATACAATATGGATGAAGCAAATCTGTTAATTTCTTTGAGAAATAAGAGTATAATACAGAGACACTTCCAGATCTGGTCTTGTGTCATACATAACATTGCCTGACCTTTTTGTTATAATTTAAATCCAGCCTACGTTATTATTTATTAATATTTTATTTTGCTATATTGATTGTTCAAGTTAGAAAAAAAAAGTTTAAAACTACTGACTTTAGAACACTGCAAGACCCTAAGTACTGCAATCTCTGAAGATAAATATACATTTATTTTTTGAGAAAATATGTCATTACCTGCAGATTAATCAATGCAAAATGATCGTGCAATTAAATAGGACAGTCTAAATTGAAATTTAAAGCTGCAGACCATGACTTTCCTACTCCCAGTGCTGCTTGAAATCTCTCACACCTTTAAAAAAATATAATTAGCTTTAGATTTATCCCACAATAAATAACACCAGAACATACCTTGTGCTACCAACCTGAATTTAAAAAAAAGTAAGAGGTCACCTCAGTGTTTTGAGTTTATGAGATCTTTCAGACAGAAAGCCCTAACAGAGTTTCCCAGTCAAAAGGCATCAGGAGGGCTCATCGCTTATGGTAAACTTGGGCTTTAGCTTGACAGACCTCTTCCTTATTGTGCCTCTAGGGGACAATGGCATGGTGTCCATAATGCTCTTGTCCTCCTCCAGCTGCCTAGCAGTGCACGAAGGGGTGGGCACTTTCACTGTGTTGCCAAATTTAGAGTAGTCCACAGAGTATCGCCCATCTTCCTCTGCCACGATGGGCACAAACCTTTGGCCCCAGAGGATTTCATCCGCCAGGTAGGAGGTTCTGGCTTGAGTGGTGATGCCGGTGGTCTCCACGACCCCTTCCAAGATGACGATGATCTCCAGGTCCTCATGGTGGTGAAGGTTCACGGGGGAGATGTCGTAGAGGGGGCTGTTCTTGTCTATCACGTGGTAGATGATGAGTGGGGAGACGAGGAAGATGCTGTTGCCCCCCACGGGGTTCTCCATCTGGATGTCAATCTGGTTGAGGGGCACCACCTCCCCCTCCAGGCTGGCAGTCTTCTTCACCACCTGCATGCGGATGGTGGCGCTGATGATCATGCTCTTCCGGAGGTCACCCACCCGCAGCATGAAGCAGAGCTTGCCCTCCCGCAGGGCGATGACCGCGTGCTTGCTGAAGATGAGGGTCTCAGCCCGGCGATGGGCCTGAGAGGTCTTCATGAAGATGCAGCCCAGCATGATGGCATTGATCACCAGCCCCACGATGTTCTGCACGATCAGCACCAGGATGGCAGCTGGGCACTCCTCTGTCACCATGCGTCCCCCAAAGCCAATTGTCACCTGCACCTCGATGGAGAAGAGGAAGGCAGAGGTGAAGGAGTGGATGCTGGTCACACAGGGCACAAAGCTGGCCGGAGCCCCCGCCGCCCCCTCTCTGGGGTCACGCTGCAGCCGGGTGCTGTGGTCCAGGTCTCCGTGGGCAAAGGCAATGAGCCACCAGACCATGCCGAAGAGCAGCCAGCTGCAGAGGAAAGACATGGTGAAGATGAGCAGCGTGTGGGGCCACTTGAGGTCCACCAGGGTGGTGAAGACGTCCTGAAGGAAGCGTCCCTGCTCCCGGATGTTTTTATGGGCCACGTTGCAGGCACCGTTCTTGCCCACAAAACGCGCCCGCCGCTCCCGGGCGCGGTACCGGGCATGATCCGGCACATCT